GAGAGAGAGAGAGAGAGAGAGAGAGAGAGAGAGAGAGAGAGAGAGAGAGAGAGAGAGAGAGAGAGAGAGAGAGAGAGACCCCAATCTTACTACAAGGCCTGCCCCTTTCCCCCCCACACGATCACAGAATTGCGTATCTCCCGATATCTGAGAAAGAATATTGTGGTGAGCGGGAGACAGGTATGCAACGTGTGACACACACAACAGACGAGTTCAAATCCGAACAATCACATACCCAGCAAACCASAACTGAAAAGAATGCAAACTGTGATTAGGTCTCTGACAGGAGAAAAAAGCAAAAAAAAATCAAAAAGAGAAAAAAAAGCATATATTCAWGGCGATCAAAGCAGCAGCAGCATTCCATCGGCAGTGTCAACGACAGTGCACAGGTGAGCCTAAAAAACACCACGGCCCCACCCAAACCCACACCCGGACCAACAAGCCCCCACCCACCCTCATTTGCACCCTTTTCCCTTCATTGTTTTGCGGGCGAAGCCGCAACAGGTAGCCTTGTGCTATGTTTATGTGCTCTGTGCTATGTTTATGTGTCTGTGCTATGTTTGTGTGTCTGTTCCATGTTTATGTTATGTCTGTGCTCTGTATGCACGAGTCCGATTGTAAACTCATGCTTCTTGCTACTGTCTGCACCCGAATAGAGCACCTGGTCATCATGACTGTATTTTGGCCGATTTTTAGTCTATATACGACAATAATGACTGGGCGTTCATTGTAGTAGACGTACCATCTGGATGGGTCTGTACCACCGGTGATATGGTTGTGCTTAGAAAACCTGAACCCGGTTGTGGGACTGATGAGGTTCAGTTCATTAAACTTCATTTACTTCATCTACATCTACACTACTATAAGAATCGCTATTTCTTATCGCACGGCCTGAATCGCAGGCCGGTAACGCGCCGCGGACGGCCCAGATCGCAGGCTGATCAGAAAGTTTTCTGATTGGCCTGCGATCTGGGCCGTCTGCGGTGCGTTACCGGCGACGGCCCAGATCGCAGCCCGGCGCGCGCCGAATTGCAGGCCCGCCCACCCCTCTAATTGTGTCCCATCCCTCCGCCCGCCCGTCTGCCCGTAATCGTGGCCCCCCCCCAAAGGTGCTGTTTGGTACCCGAAGCGCCGAATCCCCCGGGGGCCGTTTTTTTTTTTTTTTTTTTTTTTTTTTTTGAAGGAATTAACTTTCCATCACCAAAGGACAGTAGGGGCCCGGGAATACACCCCAACAAATCAACCCGGTACATTAAAAGACATGCTCGGGCCATTACCCAGCTGTGGGCTCCTGGAAATCGGGTCCAGTGTCCCTTTCCAAAACATTCCTCCAAAAAAATATTAAACCTTGAAGCTCATGTAAAAAAGGCATCCTTCGTATGCAGGATACTGCAGGGACGTGCTCTATACTCCAACTCCCTACAGATTATTGCAAAGCCCTCCCTTGAAGTATCATAGAAGCTGGAAACCGGGCCCAGCATCCCAAAGACGCTCACAATGCTACTTTATTTCACAGGGAAAAAAAAAAAAAAAAAAAAAAACTCAGAATGGGCTAAAAGTGCCCTGTTCCTAGGGGAAATCGGAAAAGCTTACAGCCTAAAACGGCTGTGGTTCCCTTCACTCTCGGCCATACGAGGCTAACTCACCTCAGCCAATGTGCTATAACCATTGTTGTCTCGTCTGGGGCTGTCGCAAAATATTCTTTCCTGCCCCACCTTCTTCCGAACTGAAGAAAGCTGAACCTTTTCCAATCTGCAAATATAGCCAGACGGATTTCTTGTTTTATCGTATTGCAGGTCTGTTCTCGCGCGCCCGTTTTTTGGTTGCCGGCCCGCCCCTGCAATCACCCGCGCGCAATGTTGTTGCCGCCCACGGCACTTTCGTCCTCCTTTCTCAACGTGCGCCTTTGTGCTCCGTGGTCGGTGCGCGTGTGCTCGGCGGTGCTCTACGGCTCTCTCCCTCTCTCTCTCTCTCTCTCTCTCTCTCTCTCTCTCTCTCTCTCTCTCTCTC